TTAAGGACCAGACTAGCAGCTAACACCAAGAAGCTGGCTATTCCCAGCATCATCCTGGCTAACGTCCGCTCTCTGGATAATAAACTGGACTACATTCGCCTCATGAGATCCACTCAACGGTCAGTAAGGGAGAGCTGTGTCTATGTCTTTACTGAGACCTGGCTAACTGACAAACACCCAGATCACGCCATCCAGCTTGACGGATTAACATGCTACAGAGCAGACAGAGACCTTTCCGAGGTGGGGAAATCTCGGGGAGGGGGCGTGTGTGTTTACATTCGAGACGCCTGTTACCAGAACACTACAGTGATCAAAAGACACTGCTCAGCTCTGGTGGAGTTCATGCTGCTGCAGGGTCACCCGTTCCACCTCCCTCGTGAGCTGTCGTCCATCCTGTTGGCTGCTGTATATCTCCTGCCGACAAACAGCAAAACCGAGAGAGGAAAAGCACTATGGGAGCTGAACACCGCCATCTATGACCTGCAGACAGCACAGCCAGACGGCTTCCTGGTGGTGGCTGGGGATTTCAACAAGGCGAACCTTAAGGTAATAAACCCTCATCTCTATCAGCACATAGACTTTCCCACCAGAGATAAAAACAAACTGGACCTAGTCTACACCATGAAGAAGGATGCATACAAGGCAATTCCCCTCCCTCACCTTGGAGCATCCGACCACACGACTATCATGCTAATACCTAGATTCAGACCACTGATTAAAACTACTAGACCCATCAAAAAGGAGATCAGGAAGTGGCCCTCTACAGCATCTGAGGAGCTGAGATGCTGTTTTTGAAACAACAGACTGGAGTATGTTCAAAAATGCTGCCACTACTGACAACCACACGGACATTGAGGAATACACAGAGACTGTGACCTCCTATATCAGTAAATGCATTGATGATGTCACAGAAACGAGGACCATCACAATACGAGCCAGCCAGAAGCCCTGGATGACAGGAGAAGTCCACTGTGAGCTCGAAATTCCGCATTCAGAGCAGGCGATAAGGCTGCCCTGGGTGCAGCCAGGAACAACCTGAACCGTGGCATTACCAAAGCGAAACGAAAGTATGCCAGGAAGGTAGAACATCGTTTCAGCAACAGCAGAGACACCAAGAGCCTGTGGAAGGCGATCCAGACCATTACGGAATACAAGCCTCGCCCACAGACCTGTGACAACAACATCACTCTGCTGAACAACCTGAACAACTTCTATGGACGCTTTGAGGCACAGAATTCCATCCCTGCACAGAATACCACCCCCCCCTAAGGACCAGGCACTGTCCCTGTCCCCAGCCAGCGTGAGGCTCGCCCTCTGCGCATTAACACACGCGAGGCGGAAGGGCCCGATAACATACCGGGTCGCGCCCTGAAGGGCTGTGCAGTGGAGCTCACGGATGTATTCACAGACATATTCAACACCTCTCTCAGCCAGGCAATAGTCCCCACATGTTTCAAGAAGACCACCATCATTCCGGTCCCCAAAAAATCCTCCCCATCTTGTTTTAATGACTATCGCCCTGTCGCACTGACCCCCATAATCATGAAGTGCTTTGAACAATTAGTCATGCAACACATTAAATCTACCCTCCCACCCACCCTGGACCCCCACCAGTTTGCATATCGTGCCAACAGATCCACCAAGGATGCAATCTCTATCGCCCTCCACTCAGCTCTCACCCACCTAGACACCAAGGACTCCTATGTTAGGATGTTATTCATCGATTTCAGTTCCGCGTTCAACACAATAATTCCCCAGCATTTAATCCGGAAACTGGACCAGTTAGGGGCGAGGACATCACTGTGCAACTGGCTGTTGGACTTCTTGACAGGGAGGCCACAGTCAGTCCAGGTCGGCGGCAACATCTCCAACACCATCATCCTGAATACAGGGGCCCCACAGGGTTGTGTCCTCAGCCCACTACTCTTCACTCTACTCACACATGACTTCATCCCCAAGCACAACTCCAACCTGTTCATCAAATTCGCAGATGACACAACTGTGGTCGGCCTGATTAAAAACAACAATGAGGCCACTACAGGGAGGACGTGGACAGCCTGGTCGTGCAGTGTGGAGACAACAACCTCGCTCTCAATGTGGAAAAAACAAAAGAACTGGTAATTGACTTCCGGAGAGCGCCCCCTGAGCATCTCCCGCTGTCTATAAATGCAGCTGTAGTGGAGTGAGTGGCGAGCACCAAGTTCCTGGGGTTGCACATCATGGAGGACCTCTCATGGGAGACCAACACAGCAGCTCTGGCGCAGAAGGCACAACAACACCTCTACTTTCTCCGCAGGCTCAAGAGAGCTGGAGCCTCCACAGCAACCATGCTCTCTTTTTATAAAGGCACCGTCGAGAGCGTCCTGACCAGCAGAATAACCGTATGGCATGGAAACTGCACAGCCTTCTGCCGCCGCTCTCTGCAGCACACAGTGAGTTCAGCAAAGGGGATCATCGGGGTTGTTGGGGTCACCCTTCCCTCCCTAGAAGACATGTACAACACACGTCTGCTCCGGAGGGCCCTGCACACTGCCTCCTCAGACCTCTGCCATCCGGGAGGAGAATCAAGATTCTGCCAGCAAGGACTACTCGGCTTTTAAACAGCACTTTTCACAAGGCAGCTAGGGCTCTGAACTCCCTCCCAGCCCTGCCCCTCCTCCCAGCCCCCGCCCTCACTGCCCAAATGGCCCAAATGGACTGAATTGGTCAATGCACTCTGAGGCACAAAATCACTTTACATGTATTGCTGCTACAACACACTCTGTTTTATTAGTTCTTATCTGTTTTATTTCTTTTTAGTTCTCTTTTAGACTACAGGACTGGACTGTTTTTGAGGGATGAATGAATGCACAGTATTGTAATCTTTTAACCCCCTGCACTTAATGTGATGTAATGGAACAAACGTAATTTTGTGCCTGGCAAACCCAGGTGTAACAATAAAGCTACCTTGTATCCTTGTATCCTTGTATTACAGGCCGAACAGTTAGGAGTAACTTCAAGTTTTTGTTCACAATAAATCCAGCATGAGTTTTATGCATTTTGGGATGTATTTACTCCATGATCAGATGTTGCTTTCATGGAAATGCACCATTTTACTCCATTTACCTTTAGATATACATTGATGTTAACAGACCATTGCTAAATATATGTCAGCAAAAGATAATAAGGGCTTAGTTTTAGGGTTGAAAACATTTGCAAGAGTCACAACTTCAGTGCAAAAGCAAAAAAAAACAAATCACAGTTGGATTATTCACTTCAACTTTTTGGCTTTTGAGAGTCTGCAGACAAAATCTTAATAAATCTCAACTGCGTTCAAACTACCACAAAAATGGCTAGAAAGAAGCAACTGAGTAAAGAAACAAAAGTACATTGTACATTGAGGAAAGAAGGATACACAGAAAGAGAAATTGCAAAATGCCTAAAGGTGTTTAACAAAGTTAGGACACAGCCATAGTGATTGGATGGAGAGGCGGAGCAGGACATTGACCAATAGGAGCTGTCCAGGACAGATGGCTCCCATTGGTCAATGTATTTGCAGCCTTGCACCTGCTAGGTTGAATGGATTTTTTTCCATTCTTTTTTCGCTTCACTTTGAGGAGCTCGCACGATAGGACTATAATCGCCATATAAAAGAGGTTCATAATGATTACCAAATTCCCCAATTGTCAACCATGCCTTTAAGAGAGAAAATCAATAACTGATAACCATAAGTGGAGCTTCAGCCTTTGTTGACATGTACCCAAAGTTAAGATCTCCTTCTATTGTGATGGAAACACAACCATTTGTTGAGACAAACAATCAGAAGCTCCGACATGTGACTGAATCCTGGAAATTGGTGCAAACCTCAAAAACAATTCCATAAATGTGTCACATTTACTAAATTTATTAACTTGAAACATCTCAGCTGTTGAACGCTCTGCAGCTCTGGGTGCCTTAGGGTTGAGGTGAGTGTTGCCTCTAATTTAAACATCATGCAACATGTCCTCGGGTCTCAGGTTGTCACACGGAGGGCCTGATGGGTCATGCTGGTCAAGGCAGAGTGCAGATGGACATGTGTCCTGGGAGCGCTCTACTCTAAGTGTTGAGGCAGAGCAATTCCTGTTTCTGCACCTCAGCGCAAGAACTGGCCTCCATTTATCACAACAGAGTCTTGGCCCGGGTTAGTGACACTCTGGGGCTACAGTTGTCATCCAGGCCATTTATTATGTCAGTTAAAGCTGTTTTTTATTAGCTGGATGACAGATACTCTTTTAATTATTTTGTTATTTTTTTCTCCTCATGTGCGGGAACACAGGCTGGAACGTGGGAATGTGTGGACTCTGCTGCTGCTGTGTTTGGATAGAAAGAGTCTCACAGAACATGTGTGATAGGATTTCTAATGTGCTGATATACAGAGCTGATAGCACAAAGCATGAGCATGGTTTCAGTTAAACACAATGAATCAAAAACCTGATCGGTGTGTGGAGTTATGCCTCTCAGGACGCTGGTGTAAAGGTCGCACTGATGTTTGCTGTCACACGAAGACAAGAATTTATTTTGAGGATCGCCTTATAGGAAACAAGACCAACATATCTGCTTACACATCAGTACTATTTAAACCTCTCCTGCTTTTGTCCCTTTCTGAATAATTGTCTTTTTTTATACAATTGTCTTCAGGTCATGGTCAGAACAAATCACCTTAAAATGCCCCTCATAAATACCGGTTTTCAGAGTAATAAGATTTGATGCAGTTCTTCCCTTAACTCTGTTTCTTAAGTCAGTACATTTCTGATAAAATTCAGATGAAACCAAAAATGCTTCATGTTTACAAGTTTTCTTAAAAAGGGATTTTCTAACATGTGAAATCTGGCACTGACCAATCGGTGCTGTGAGGATTGTGTACTGAGAGTTTTCTTTTGAGGACCCAAGAGCAGGTAATGGAGACATTAGCAACTTTAAGAGATTTTATTGACAGTATAGACCCAGGGTCCGCAATAGGTGGACCGTGGTCTGGCTAGACTGGTTAGACTGGCCAAGAGAGAGAGAGAGCGTGTGTGTGCGACTGTGCGCGTGCTCACGCTTGCATTATGGGCTTCCATTCCCATGACAACGATGCGCTGATTGGCTGATAACTACACAAACCGGCAGTCACACCTCTTCCTCCTTCAGTCCGTCTTCTTTGCACGGCGCAGGCAGCGGTAATGTCTTCGCAGCAGGACTGTTGCTCACACCCAGCACCCGACACTGAAAATCACTGATTCACTGACGAATGGACCGATAATATATGATTATCTTACCTCCTTCAAGCACAAAGCCAGTGTGTCTTTTGTGCAAAGCACTGTTGCTCTGATAAAAAGTGTAAACATAAAACGCCATTATGAGAAGCGATTTTGATAGAGATTGCCCCCCAAAATCTGAGCTACAAACAGATAAAATAAAAAGCTTATTTTATTTTATTGAGTAATTCTAAGTAAGAAAGAATATCAGTTTGATGCTGAATATGAATGTTTTTGTGCCTTCCAATAACTCCTGATTATTACAGTACAGTACAACCAGCATAAAACTACATAAAAACATAAAAAAGGGGGAAAAAAAGGGAAAAAAAAATAACCCAAAATGTTTCGCCGCCACACACGCGATGTGGACCTATGACTTCCTCAAAATTTATTTTCTGGACCTTTTACATTTCTACTTGAGAACCCCTGGTATAGACAGTTGGGGAATTGAAATCTGAGGTCCAGGCAGTGAGGGTGGGGGGAGGCAGAGTGAGGGCTTGATGTCATGGCAGAGGTTGGGCAACGCTGGTGGTGGGTGAAGGCACTGGAGGAGAAAAGGAGGGAAGCGGAGATTAGACACAGGTAAGTTCAATCGCAGGTAAATATTCATCAAAGTTACAATTACTTTGCTAGAGATTGGCCAAGTTGCAGCTCTGAAAGCTGGAATTATCTGGCAACCTGCAGTCTTCCAGGCAGAGCTTAAAAGTAGGTGGTGATTATGTGATCAGGTGCAGGTGTGAAGGTGCAGGAGGAGCCAGTGCTGATTAAGAGCTGCTCAACCTCTGAGAAGGGGGAGAGAGACTCCACACTCAGGGTGTGTCTCATTTCAGAGACCGCATCAGGCTGAGCGCGCTGAAGTGCGCTTAGCTGAGTGCACTGCCGTTATGTGGACTTGAGTAACCTGAGTGAGATGGTCCAGTTTTTGTGAAATGGGACAGACTACCCTTCAGGACTTCCTGGTTGAGTCGCCAAATGTCCCCGCCCTCAGGCTCGCGTCACGACTGACTTGAAGAAAAGCTGCGGAGCGCAGCAGTTATTTTTTAATTGTGCGACCTTTCACAGATACAAAACAATAATACATACAAGCACAGATCATTCCCACAAAATTCATCCAATGATTGCATGTTTTGTATGGAGTATGAGGGCCATATTGAGAATTTTTTTAAAGACTTGAATTTGACTTTTTTTTTTTCCGCTCCGTTCATTCCGTAAGAATTGAATTCATTATTGAGCTAAAAACCAAAATAAAACCTTTATGTATTATTTATGACTACTGTTTTGTTCTGATTTAATTCTAAAGTTTACAGTAATATGTATATATAGACTGATGTCCTGATAGCCTGATAATCATACAGCAAACATAATTTATGACATGGTGTGCTTCCTGGTGAGCCTCTTCAGGATTACTTGACTGTGGAAAATCCAAATATACAATAATTGTAGAGACACAAGACACATGATCTGTTCAAGGTTCAGAAGAGCCATTTAGCAAAAACACTTGAATTGCGATATCAGAGGGACAGGAAGAGACTGAATAGACTGGTCAGGAGTGCCAGTTGGTTCCTGGACTGTTCTTTGGACTCCCTGGAGGAGGTGGGTGAGAGGAGGATGTTAACAAAGCTTGTATCCATCATGGACAATCCCTCTCACCCACTGCACCAGACTGTGGGGGCTTTAAGCAGCCCCTTCAGCAGCAGACTTAGACTCCCACCTTGCAAGAAGGAGCGCTACCGCAGGTCATTCCTCCCTTCTGCAATAAGACTTTACAACGGACTGTAATAAAACTGGACTCACACCACCACGTTTTTCTGGCATTCCCTTTTTCCTTTTTCTAAATTTTTTCTTAATTTTTATTAATTATTTACTTAAGTTCTTAATATTACAATCCTTATTTTTTTATAACTGCATTTTTGCACTCTTTGTCTGTGATGCTGCTGTGACAAAAAAATTTCCCCCATGGGGATCAATAAAGGAATATTCTATTCTATTCTATCATTACAGACTGTGTAAAGAAATGGGATGGTAAATTGTCATATAACTGCTTCAAAGATTGCTTTAATATTTTCAAAACAATAACTTGTAAACACACAGTAAAAAATATAATTATATATATATATATATATATATATATATATATATATATACAGGCTTCCACGTCCCATAGTTGAGAGCGTTGCCGTCGGTGTGGTGGGGGGCTTAAAATAGACTGCCACAGGTCATCATCTGCTCCGCCCTGAGTTGGGTGATGCCATGCTCTTGAAGTACTTTGAACAAAAGCTGAAAAACAGTCAAATAATGTGAACATTTGAAGTTATGCAGTATAGGTTAATTGTTGTTCTTGAGCTTTCCAAATGAATAAAAACAACCTCTTAACAATATCATCAATTTTCAATGCCAGCTATATAGTTTGATCTACTCACCTCTGGGAGCATGACATCAAAGACAAAATCTAGCAAATGAATCTCGCCTCTCTTGATGTTGTCAGATATGGTCGTTGCCTCCTCAATTAACCGCAGGAGCTCGAAGATCTATTGAAGAAAAACATACAAAGTAAACAGCTTTCAAATGTAACACCTATGAGAGTAAAAATACTTATGATGGATGGCATTTTTACTTACGCGCTGCTCACTCCAACATAGTGTCCTTATCTTCAGATGCTGCGTGAGCCGGAGTGAGGTGGCGGGTTTCCTCCAAAGAAACATCCTGCCGGAGCGGATGTTTCCAGAAAGCAGATCATCGTGTAATGTCTGAAACCAAAGAGCAAGAGACAAACATGTAATCATCTGAAAAAGAAACAGTGGCTTTAACAACTGATAGTGCATTCAAAAGCAACCTTGATCTGTGTCTTAGAAAAGACAGCACCAATTCCTCCACTGTCAACAGCATCCTTGATCCTGCAGAGAAATAAGAAAAAGAGCCTGTCCCAATTACTTCAATGCAATTTTTTTTCCACAGTGTGCACAATTCATATATAATAGAGAAAAGTAAAAGTACACAGATCCTGATCAGTCCGCACATTTTGATATATAATTTGTCCTGCAACTCTTTAAGCTGTAGGACTAGTAGCAAATTGAAATTTGTCTGGTAAAAGAATAAGAAAAGTTCCACAGAATAACAATAGAGGCTCTGTGTGTTTGCCCTGTGGCCCTAACTAGATAAAAAATAGAGAGATGGAAATATCATGACACAACAGCACAGACCACAAAGCTTTCAGACTCCATTATATGTAGCTACCATCATGTTTAAGGTTTGAATTTACCTTTTTTTAATAGAATTAAACTTGTCTGAATTTACTTTGACATCAGTATCACTGACTCTATCCTCATCAGCTCTGTGCAGTCTGTCAAAAATGTACTTGGTCCTTTTAGTCCTGCAGGTCAGGGAGCCTCTTCTGTTTATGAGGCTGTTTTAATGCATCTAGCATCCAGAAGTGGAACTTATAAAGGCTGAATACGGTGCCAGCAACCCAGCTGATGATACATGGTATTATTAGATGGTCCAGATTGGTAAAATTTTATCACTCAACACAGTGATAAATAACAGCTAGATTAAATTTAACAAGACCCCTCTGGCTCGTCAGGGTCCTGCTCACCCTGCAGGGTTTTAATCTGTAATAACATCCTGCTCACTATTCATTACCCCTCGCTAAAAGTACTGATATGCTTTTACAGGGTTCCTTTTGCAATACATACATGCAATACACAACAGATCACTTACTACTCTGAGTCTTTGTACGCAATGAAATGACATTTTGATGCTTTAGCAAAAGAAAATGTAATGCATGTATTTTTCCTCTAATCTCTATAAGACATGAGGCACTGGTCTTCTCATCTAATGTCAGATTTAATAAAAGCCTGTGTCTTTCAAATAGTTGGACTGCTCCTTTAAGAAAATGATTGGCACTCTTTTTTATGATGTTTCCTTTGGTTTTCATTGCATGGCCATAAATGTGCTCATATCCTTGTCATAGTTTGTGTAAGGGTACAGCAGTTTTTATTTTTCTCTGTAGGCAGCAGCTACTGGTGTGATGGAGAGCTGCAGAGCAGAGGAGCCTCTGTCTCGGCTGCTGCAGGGCTGAAGCAGAGCAGCGATCTGGACCCGGGGATATTTGTCCGTTACAAGCTTGCCTTTAAACATCGATGTTTTCCAGATGTTACAGATGTTATTACCACATTATTGCTGCTGGTAGAGCACCAACTGTGAAGCCAACCAGAACAGGTCCGGCCCGAGCACCAGCGGTCACAGTGGAGGAGTTTGACTGCGTGTTTTTTCTTTTGGTAACAGGCCACAGGGGCCTCTGAAGGCTTTAACTGATTTATTCAGGAAACCTGAGACTCCTGCACACAGATGATGAGGGTTTTCAGTAGCATGTTGCAGAGACTCTGATACTCTGTGTATTTATATCTGCAGTGCAACATTAATGTTCTCATTAGAAAGGAATGTTCTGGTTTAACATGCGGTCACTTACTGTGTTTTTATTGTCAACAAATTACTTCTTCTGGATATCACTGAGCAGCAAAGTTTTAAAGCTGCCAGAAGTATAGAGAAGTTTGGTGAGTAGCCCAGTGCTTAAAGCTATGACGCCATAGATCAGTGGTGTGTACAGGAGTATATTTCACAGCATGTACAGGAACCATCAGCCTGCATGTCTAAGTCCCTATTAACATCCATAGAATTCAATGTGAACCCATATGTGGTCTCAGTGACTGAGCAAGAAACAGAAAAAGAGAGGTTGTTCAAGCTTTCTCTTTTTACACTAACTTTACCTACAACATCTGTGTAAAACTCTGGCGCCAGATGTGTGTCAAAAGCCAATCAGGAGTAGGAGGAGGCAGGTGGAGAGGAGAACTAGGAGAGGAGAAGGAGGAGAAGGGGAGAGCAGGGAGAGGAGCAGGTGGAGAGGAGAACTAGGAGACAAAAGGGAGGAAAAGGGGAGAGCAGGGAGAGCAGCAGGAGGAGGAGAGTGAAGATTAGGGAGATGAGCAGAAGACAGGACAGCAGGTAGAGGAGCAGGAGGAGGAGGAGAGAATGAAGAGGAGCAGAATGAAAAGCCAAGGGACCAAACAAGCATGAAAAGCGAGAGGCTGCAGCGAGTGTTTATGACTGCCGGGCTAAAAGGTGCAAGACAAATAGTTCCAATCCTATTAAAATTTAGGCTCAAGTATCCACATTATAGAGTGGTGATGATGTTATATAAAAGCTTGTGTGCTTTGTTCGGTCTGCAGCCTATGATAAAATGTGAGCTGTAAAAGAGCTTAAATCCTTTCATTGTTTTGACACAGAGTAAAGATGATTTACCACAAGTGAAATCTGACATTTAGTTTAGTAAGCACTATTGCCAAAATTGATTTAAAGCTCTTTAAGTGAAGTGAAGAAGTATCTGCAGTGGTAGATTCCTGAGAATACTTTTTTAGTGCATGTATCATGAAGGTGTTGCTCACCCTAGTTCATTGCTGTTGCTTTAATGCCCCTTAAAAACCACTCTTGTCCTGTCAGCGTCCAGATGATCACCCAAAATGACTTTATATGTATTATATGATATACAAAGTCAGGAGGCCAAAAACAGGATCTGCTGTTGTCTAGTTTGGTTTGTGCATTCCTCTGCCCACCGTCCACATTGCTACAGAGACTCAACTGGAGTTGAGTGGCTGAAAAGCAATTATTACGAGTTTCATGAAAGGCATCACCGCAGAGAATTCTGGGTAATGCTGTATTCCTGTGGTGTTGTTGTGTAGTCTTCATATTAGCAAACGGTCGATGTACTGTCTTGTGACTTGTAGCTCACCTTCAATCACCCAAAATGATGAACGGAAAGACTGTCATCGTGACCGGTGCTAACAGCGGGATAGGGAAGGCCACAGCAGCCGGCATCGTGAAGTTCCAGGGCCGGGTGATAATGGCGTGCCGGGACCGGAGCAGGGCTGAGGAGGCAGCCCGGGAGATCCTCCAGGAGACCGGGGCAGACAGTGCACAGTTAGTCATCAAACAGCTGGATCTCGCCTCGCTCAGATCTGTGCACACTTTCTGTGAAGAGATAATAAAGGTTAATGAACTGCCTATCGTTACAAAGTTAATTTTACGTTTCAGACAGAACGATAAACCGAGATCCATTGAAAAATCTGTAGATTTAAAATATATGACAGTATCTTGAAATGTATCCAATCAACTCAATTCATTGACAAAATTCTAGTCTGGTCTGAAATCCTGTTCAGTTCGGCATACATTTATTTTTACTGATGGAACAAATAAGGGTTAAATCCCAACTTCTTGGTCGTCAATCAGACCGTCTTCTTCTAGCAACTGTGACACAAATCTACCACCATGGAGTTTTGAAGTTAAACTGGTGCAACTTAGTGGATTTTGTTATTATATTTATGCCGAAATGAGCGGCATTTTACGTCGATTTAAAAAAAATACATTTACACCAGTTGTTATTATTTTATTATTATGTCTTCCTTTAAATCGTAAATCCGGACAGTTTTTTAATGGAGCTCTAAAAAATATTTGTCACGGCATAGGCCTACCGTGAACTGGCGTTTGTACCACTATTGAAACAAAAACTACTGCAAAGGCTGTTCCATTAGACCTGAAATCACTATTATATACGTCATACTCTATAGCAAATATACTGTATTTGATATATAGAAGCCGTAAGACATGGGGCTCTATTTTCGTGCCTCACCAGAGGCGAAGCACGGCGCCGTGTAATCTTGTATTTTGGTGAGCGGTGCAGCCCGGCGTAAGTATCCCCCCTCTGTAACTCAGCTCCTCCCAGCGGCGTAAGTCGTAGGGATGGAGGAGAGAGGGCATGGAGTGGGTTTAACACAGCCGAGACCTGTATTGACCAATAACATCAGCTCCTTTCCTCGCCTTTAAATCCGCCACCGGCGAGGCGTATTACTATTTTCGTGAAGTAGTCAACGAGATCAAGAGATGTCTGAAAACAGTAATGCCACACGATGGCGACAGAAGGCAGCCCCTCAACAAGAGTCGCTGTAAGCACTGCAGAGGGCGTCTTGCACACTGTCTCATATGAGCACAGATGGATTTGGTGTGTAATGTTGGACCCACTGGTAAGACAAACACCCTTTTCCACAAATAAAGACACTCACATAGAGTTGCATTTACATTTTTTATTGAAACCCCACATGACAAAGGTGGGTTGTGCGCACAGATCACAACATAAATTCCAATAATGGCATGAAAATCGGAACCATCTGTGCGTAAAGGACGCATCACACTCCGTGGCCTGGCTCTTCCTTTCATAGATGTTGGCATATAAATAAGTTTGGCTCACAAAACTAAATATTATAATATTCGTATGTGGGTCTAACTCCGGATTGAATATTTACAGAATCTTAATTTGAGGAAATCAGATAAACAGGAAATTTTGAGTGAAAGGTTCTTTTATTTTATTTTATTTTTTTGTTCAAATTTTCAAAGTAAATAACTCATCTGATCACTAAAATAAATCATCTGGTCAGCCGTGCCACCGCTGCAGCAGCAGGACGGAGAAAGGACACAGAGACATGTCAGGTGTTGTGCCATAGAATGCACCCCTGCCATAGAATGCACCCCCTGACGGGAGCGCAGTTGAAAGTACACAACAAGGCGTAATAATCCAAATTTTCCTTACCATTGGACTGATTCTAAAGCGTGTGCCTGTAATGATTTCATTCAGGCTATTCAGATAAGCCGAAAACAATAGCCCTCTGATTACGAATATTTGCTGCCCTGAAAATATAATGTTCTCTCCCTTAACAGCTTACTGTACAGTTTATATACCCAAGTACACCTCTGTATGTGGATTTTTTAAATACCTAAATACAGAACAAAAGTTTGCTGCTCCATTTGACATGTTGTCATGATCAATACTCATGTTTTTTTTTTTCAATATGAGATAATTTTTTTCCACTTTAAGAAGCTAATGAGTGGAGGGGGTGCATTCTATGGGGGGGTGCATTTTACGGCATAACACCCATCGAGCTGCGCAAGGAAGGAGGATGAGCGGGGAGATGAATTAAATATCTTGTTAACTTCATCATGTGTGACTGTTTACTGGATATTTAATTTAATGCGGTTTCAGCTGTGTAAATTCTGTCAGGTGGAGTGTCCAAATGTGTGCCAAATGCGCTCATCAGATAAAATATTGATCAGAATATATGATATAGATCTCAATGTATGTGCTGACTCAGAATATTGGTTGTTGATCATTATTTATTGCACTGAAACTGTGGAAACCTGCCTGTGAGGCATCGGTGACGTATGCGTAATACGCCACTGGTCTACCAAAATACCACTAGACCAGCTGCGCTCTGCCTGCGCTGAAAGCTGACCAGGTTTGAATCAGCGAGCTGTCAGCGCCCTTTTCACGCCACCGGCTGCACGCAAATGTCTCTGCGCCAGCTGATTCTGTCGACACCTCCCCCTGCCGCGCATCTACGCCCAGCTTGGCAGACCTCGACGCGCCTCAGTCCATGAAAATACCAAACTGGCTGTGCGCCGGGCTCCGCCAGACGAAAATACCACTGCATGGGGTCCGCCAATGTCCGCCACCTCACCAGCGGACACAAAAATAAAGCCCATGGTTAGAATTTACTTCAGTTGCATTGTGGCTTGACTAATATCCTACAGGATTTGGGTTTGGACATCATATTTGAACAGAAATAGACATTTAACTTTTTTTTTCTTGTAAAGTTTGGTTCTGTACAAGTTTGAAGATCTGCTCTTTGTGCTGCTGAACAGGAGGAGCCCCAGGTGGATGTTCTTATCAACAACGCCGGCATTTACCAGTGTCCTTACACCAAAACAGAGGATGGCTTTGAGATGCAGTTTGGTGTCAACCACCTGGGCCATTTCCTGCTTACGCACCTGCTGCTGGACCTCCTGAAATGCTCAGCACCTAGCAGGATCGTAGTGGTCTCCTCTAAACTCTACAAACACGGGCACATCAACTTTGAGGATCTTAACAGTGAACAGAGCTACGACAAAGCCTTTGCCTACAGCCGCAGCAAACTGGCCAACCTGCTATTCACGTGTGAGTTAGCTCGCCGTCTGGAAGGCAGTGGAGTCACAGTGAACGCTCTGACTCCGGGTATTGTGAGGACTAATCTGGGGAGGCACGTTCAGGTCCCGGTTTTAGCTAAGCCCCTGTTTAACCTGCTCTCCTGGGGCCTGTTTAAGAGCCCTGAGGAGGGAGCTCAGACTTCAGTGTATTTGTCCTGCAGCCCAGATGTAGACGGTGTGCAGGGCAAGTGCTACGCAGACTGTAAACCTCAGGTTCTGCTGGACAAGGCCACAGACCAGGAAGTGGCCAGCAAGCTGTGGGACATCAGTGAGATCATGGTGGGAATAACCACATGACAGCTCAGGTTCATTTAAGCTCCCAGAGCAGGTGATGTGAAAAGACTGAAATCCAAAATGAAAATGAATGTTTTGTGCTTTGATCTGAACGCCATACAGTGTTAGTAAAAGCTGCACTAAAGCCAGAAAAATGTTATTTTATGTTATTCTCTCATGATGCCTAAAAATTGCTGAAAAATACAGTAGCGTTAAAATCAAAAGCATGTCTTTTTTTTTTTTTTTATAAGTTAATCTACTAGGAAATAGACAAGGTCAGTTTGCCCTTCCAAAGTGTCTGAAAATTTAGAGTTTTGCACTTTTATGCTCTGATTACAGAATCCTTCAATCCAACTCCAGTATTGTCAGAGGTGTATGAGCGTGTTTGATCCTCTATCACGCATTCCATCGTTTAGATTTACAGAGAAGCTTATCCAAAGACTGATGTCCTCTATCAAATAAGACTCCCTCGAGTTTGCAGAGCCTCTTCATGCCACACCGTAGTCAGGTGAATTTGTGGGTCAGAGGTCCTGAAATTCTCTGAAAAATTTCCAGTGTATGCCTGAAAAGGACCTAATAGCATCCTGCAGATTTTCCAGTTATATTGTCAGTAAGATTGTCCTGAGGTCCTAAGATTTAAAAAAAAAAATGTCCAATCCAAACTTCATCTCAAAAGCAAAAATCCGAAGCCTCATTTGTTTGTCATACAGACAGACCCGACATCATAAATTTTAACTCAGTAAAACTCCACATTATGGCGTTGTTATTTCAGGATCCTATGAATCTGTTTCTGGGTTCGTGGACCTGATGGAAGATAGATTCTGGCAGGTGTGTGACTTTCTAGATACAAAGAAACAGGGACTCAGTGGAGACAGATCCACAGGCAGGACTGGACTGGAATGATCATTCAGACCAGGAAATGCTCTGTCTCCAAAACACAGATCTAGAGGGACAGCAACAAAATAAGACATCTCTGGCTCTACACCAAAAATATTGTCATCTCTGTCTGCAAACTTGATGTTTTTGGGTCACATGACTGAACATTATGCAGGAATTTCAAATGAAATCCTCTGATTTTGTTTGAAACACTGACTTACCTGGTGGTGCCGTGCAGAAAAATATTGGATTTGAACATTTGGCAGCATCTCCCACAGGCCCCTCAAAGTCTTAAGTCAATAAATGTAAGGAAAGCATTTCATTAAGTCCTGACAAAATACAAGAAAAAAAATTGAAAACATTATTTCTAAAAACAGAAATATTTTCTTAAGTTTTGAAAACAAAAAGCATTTAATAATCGACAGTATTTTGGAAGTGCAAATCAATTTTGAAAACACAAAATATTTCTAAAAAATTTATTTAGTCCAATTGTTTACTTTTTTATGTGTGCACGTTAAAATGTACTGGTGTTTCAAAAATATTTTTATGTTTTCAAAATATAAATATGTCTCCATTTTTGATTTTTAAAACTAATTGTGTTATTGAAGATAATTTTGTGTTAAAAAAATGACTTTTGGTTTTCAAAACACTTTGAAGAGTTTTAAGAGTTAATGTGTGTTTTTCCAAATCAGTCTTTATCTAAAAAATGTTTTGTCCTAATTTTCTGCTGAGATATTTTTGAGTTTCATTATTTTTTAATTTATTTATCACTTTCCTTATACATTCGTGGTGGGTCTGTTATCTAATTGTACTTTAAACCTTCATAATTAGGTGTTCGTAATAGAATAATACTCTGTGACTTGCTTCATTTACATTCTGCCTCATTTACAAACAGGCTCCAGGAGAAATCCAGTTTCTTCAGGGGTTAGTTAGGCTTCAGTCAGCCATGCTGGTTACTCTGAGAGTGTCCATTAGAGGGGAATGTTTTCTCTTCAGGTCACCTACAGATACAGAGCTTCACCTTACATGAAATGTTTGTGAGACCCCCAGGATACATAATGATTTTCCCACCGGTATTCTTCATTAGGACATTTTCTGGATCATTTATCCAGAGCTGGAAAACACAGGCAGCTGCTTTATCAAATCCATCTCACACAAAATGTTCCCGGGCCTTTTTAATGGCAGCTCCATTCTATTTGTCTTACAAATAACTCCAATTAGTGCAATTACTGAGTTTAATGTCCTTAATCGGCGCAGGAATATTGAGGTTCTGCAGTATGCTAATACAGATGTCAGGGCCTCACTCAGGCTGCTTATGCCTGGAGGTCCAACACATAATGGTTCCATTAAAAATGCATTAAATCTGTCTTTTTCTCAGCTTCTGTTGGACTCACTGCGCTCAGGTCTCCACTGCAATCAGCCCACAGAAATGTGCTGTACCTGTGCTCCTGCAGCTGTGGTTTTTACACATGATAACAACCAGAGGATGCTCTATTTTGGAGGCATATTTTGTTATTTTTATTTTGAAAAAGGAAAAACAATATTATTCATACATGGATGCACAAGTCAAAAAATAATGCAAAGTTAGCCAGTGGCTATGCAAAATAGAGTCCTGACTGACATGATCTGAAGTCAGGGTTGTGTCTCTGAGTTTCTGTTGGTCATGATACTAAAACGTTCACCCCTGCACCTCGATGATTGGTGAACAATGAGGAAGAGAGGTCAAAACCATTGGTTGCTCCAGGCTGTAAACATGCTGTAAAAATCTGCTCTTCATTGTGGGACCTAATGTGGTTTCTTTATCTTTTGGAGACAGCCTTAAGTGGACACTCAAGGAACTGCAGCCGTGTTTGCACCTCCTACCTGGCTTTAACTTTAAAACTTAAACTTTATATTGGCCAAAACCGTTGATCTTTCTGTTTAACTATTTAGGGCAAGAATGACTCAGATATATACAGTCACAGGCCCAGTCCTCCAGACTGCTGCACAGCCTCAGCTCCACTGTGGCACGAGCAGACCTGACCTTACATCACAGCTGATGTTAGACATGATGGTGCAATGCGGCCACAACAACAGTGTACAACAACAAAATTAGATGAGGTGATGAAAATGTTGTAAGAATGTGTGAGAAGAATGTAGTTTTACGTATCAAGATGTCAGCGTTTAATTGTTCCAAGCTGTAACCTCCACATAACCTTCAGAATCAGCTACAGTGCTGCAGAAACACAGACCTCTCCAGAGCAGATAACAGTAAAAGACAGACTTAAGACCTCAACTGTGGCCACAGCTCACAAACCAATGACCACATTTGACAAACCAGTGACCACAGCTGAGGAAAACCTGCCCACAGTTTACAGACTCCTACCCAAATCCTTAGTTGATCAAACCATGATAGCAGTTAACAAACCCACTAGTTTACAAAATGATGTACATAGTTTAGGAATTATACCCACACTGTAAAAACTCATGCCCACAGTTTGCTAACCATTTCCAGTTTAAAAACCTGTGCTGAAAGAAAGCACAGCCTGCCTGTTTTTGAAACCTAAACACAGTTTATAAAATTTGGGGTGAAGTTTGAAAACTCATATCCACAGTTTTACAAAATCCTGCCCACAGTGAACAAACTTGCACTTAGAGTTACAGATTTTTCTCACTGTATAAGTGCAAAAGCTGGAACCATGCACACAATTATGAAAACTTTATCTCAGCCGATAAATTAAGTCTACACCATGCTCACATCCACCAAAACTGTGCCAACAACCACAAAGACCATGTGACCAGTTCACAAAGCCATGCCTACATCCAGCAAAACCACCCACAGGTTAAAAATTCATGCTCAGTTAAAAGATATACGCCCAAAGTTTACAAACTCATACTCTTGCCAACGAAAAAAACCAATATTTTATAGGTCATACATTTATGCACTCGGTTTTAAAAGCATGCCCACAGTTTACACACTCACACCCGCAGATGATGAAACCATGCAGAGTTTCAATATCTGAGCCCAGAGTAAAGCCGCAGAGCAGTGGTATAATCAGACAACAGAAACAGCAGCTTAAAAAGGAAAAAAGTAACAACAGCAAGAAAGTAAATAGGGAAAAGTCAGAGCAATAACTGCCCTGGAGATGAAAACCGTCTGTATTTTTCCATGTTCTTCTTGTTATTATTTTTTATCTGGCAGCTTGTAAAACTAGCACGGTTATCATCCTTCATCATTGGAGCATCAGTAAATAAACACTGTTCTGTTGATATTGAGACAGAATAGGGTCTCTTGTTGTGTTGGTGTCACTGCGGTCTCTAACACAGAGCAGAGAAACAGAGCGCAGTCAGATCATGGCTTTGGTATTCGGTCTGTCAGAGGTCAACCCCGTCAGCTCTGCAGCACCTGAGGGACCCGGCCCACCTGACTGATTGGAGCAGGACCCTTAGATGTTACCTGTTGTTAATATCACAGTGAGCTGTGTGGACATGTGTGCCTCTCCCTCCTCCTCCTCCCCTGGCTCTCCTCCCTTTAAAACAGGCTATCTGCAGAGCATTACTGACTCGGCAGATGTCAGAGTTCGCTCACATCCCCATACATCATGAAGGCAGAGTGAAAAATAAGTTTATTTTCTTTTTCTGAGAGCTGCACAACTCTGTGGACTGTCTCACATACACTCAGAGCATATTTTAACCTTATTAATGCTCAAAGTTTGCAGCACACAGACGGCCAATGGAAGAAATAAAGACAAATGAAACATTAGCATGTTATGACATCTCTGTGGAAATTGATTTTCTCAGTTCATAACACTGCTGATCATGTTTGACTACAGATAAACGTGTCCTCTCTTAGCCAATGAGAAGAGGGTCAACATTACAAGATTGTGATGTTGTGGCGTCATCTGCTGGAGTAAAAGAGAATGATAGTAATGGTTATCCTAGGTATGCGTACCTTGTTTCTAATCACTTTGTTTGGTTGTTGGTGTCTACTGTAAAAATTGAATAAATTACGTATTTAAAAAGAAACTTAAAAGGGTTTGAAATGCAGATAAAACCAAACTTACACAGCAAACATCCCACTTCCCAAGGAATCTTTATCTATCAATAAGGCACGTGTTGCAAATTTTGTCTCCAAAATAAAGGTGAAGCTGAGCTCTTGTTTGGGTGATCAATGGTGATTGTCCTTCAAAACAGAGAATGTGGAGTCTTTTTTTCCATTATTGCATGGTACAGACTCCTGGATGTCAAATCTATAGGGAAAATAGTGATCAGTGCAGCCAGTAAAATTAGAGAACCAGAGATCTCATTTGTTTTAAGGCACATACTGAACATCAAAAAGAAAGCTCTTAAACTTACAGGGGACCCCTCCCATCTATTGTATCCATAGATTGAATCAGGCCAACCTTCAGTCTGCCACAAGTCTCCAAAAAATTGACAAAAAGTCTTTTATTCTGAAACAGTCTATGTCTTGTTATTTTTGATTTTATAACTGATCATGAAATAAGTTTGTTTCCTGACCTTTACAACTTTTTAACATTGTTCTCTTCTATTCAAGGCTGTAAAAGAGAATTTTTAAAAAAATTTTAAAGACATGAAAAAATGAAACTGTAGAGATGAGCCATCAGAGTCCTTCAAACAGACTCAGAGGTGTGTCATTTATTCTCTAAAAAGTCTCTGCGTGAGTTTGAAATGATAACAACATGTAAATAAAACAAAGATATAATCAACACATGTAGTAAATAGTTATATATAAAAAACAGGTTGTTTTACCAGCTTTCCTTTCAACAATATGGAGGTTTTTGGGTCCGTAGTTCTGCTCATGAACCTTTCAATCGAAAGACAAACACTTTTTTTTTCAAACAAGTAAATAAAAGGAACCTAAATCCAGCTGGAATTAAAATAACCTAAGCGTATAGAATAAATCAAGGTTTCTAAGAATAATGATTTTTTTTTTCTTTTTCTGTGATATTAGTTAGAACACAGTCAGCAGGGCAAAGAGCCCGTACAGCAGAGCGCAGGGATAAGCCACCAACAGCTGCTGACCCTCCATTGCCAGGGTGGAGCTGAAGATCTTTGAGGCTGAAAAACTGCACCAACAAATCCCCAACAGAGCCAGGACAGTTCCCAGGACACCTCTGTGGAGACAGGGAGAGAGAAAGTCGGTCCCCATTATGAAGTGCAAGAATTCAAACCTGACATCTGGTCTTTTGTTACTTCAAACAAACTGATATATGTGGGAAGTGGACAATCCTTGTGGTGTCTCTGTCTCTTGTTTTTTGAACCTTTGAGCCAAAAACATGTATCGTGTATTGCATTAAAGAAGTGGAGATGGCTTTATCAAATGTTTGAATTAAATTTGAATCCGGGATCTGACCCTGATCGGCTCAGTTTGTTAAAACCACTTTAAAAAGTCAGAGTACAACAATGATGTGCAAGAAAGCTGCAGAAAAAATACAGTTAGGACCTTATTTCCGATGATTTAAGACAACTTTTTTTTACAGTCACATGGATTTCATGCTTTTATGCCCAAACTTCTCTGTTTGAACCCAGGGTTTTAAAGTGAACCTAACAATAATGAGTTAAAACAAATTCAATGTAATGCCTTAAGTTATCGCTCTGTTTCCTGCCTCAGAGGTCTTTAAATCAGGGATAGAGCAGTGACTTTGTTGATGGCAAGTGGACACGAACCACCGTGAGTAGAAATGGATAGAAAAGAAGCAGATTTTTGAACAGCATGTTCAGTTTCAAAGCTCTACTGAAGGGGTGTCTCCGCAGTAGACCTTCAGGACATTATGAGAGCTGAGGGTCTGCTCGAAATATTCTGCACATGGAAAAGTAGAGTAGGGAAACCAGCTAACAAATCCACAGCTTTAATCAGACTGCCTTCATCCTCACATGCAATTCACTACTGACTATACTGAATATACAAGGGGCTTAATCCAGCCTCTCTGCACCCTGCAGAGCCCAGAATCTTGGCCACTTAACTTGCAAAATGCTGTCCGATAGGCCTACGCCATAATTCACTCCAGGTCATTCATGTTGGACTGTGTATCTCTGATCATATAATTAGAGCCCCCAGTGTTTAACCCCTGCCCCATGCACTAAACAAACTTACTGCAATGAATAGAAGACAGCGAATGCAGAGAGGACCACCATGGGCAGGAGACAGTAGCCCAGGACACTGGCCACACAGCCGAAAGACACGGCCAGAGAGCTCATCAGAGTGAGCAGGATGTAGATCCCTGTGCAGCCTGTAGCACTGGTCCCATACACATAACCAAAGTGAGCTTTACCCGCCTTTAAAGGAGAGAAACACACACAGTCTGTTTTAAAAACTCACTGCAGCATATTGCTCCTACAGGATGATCATTCACTCTGTTAAAATAAACGGTGCTATGCTAATAACCATCATTAAAGTGACTCCTAAAGCAATGCAGAAGATGACTGGACCCGTCAGATCCGTCTCGTTCATGATGCTGCCATCTGCAGGCTTGAAAGGGTTCAGCACTGTCAGCGTCTTCTGCCAGATGTGGTCAAAGTTGATGCCAAGCTCTGGATGCAAAACAAAGTGAAGTCCCAGAGTCATGTCCTTTTGAATTCTACTTTATTCTGTCTTTAGGAGAGGAGGGTGAGAGGGTTATGACTATGTTTCCTCCACATGATCAGATGATAGTTGTTGATTTTTTTTTTTGGATTAACAAATACAAGCTGTAAGTGTCAGCTTTCTAATTATAAAGAGAAATTATATTTCTTTACCTTCGAGAAGAGGAGGTTCCTCCTCTACAAAATCTGTTCCTGTTTCCCCCAGAGTCCCAGATGGCACTGAGGGTTGGTAAAACTGTCCAGTGTACTCCTGCTCCATGGAAGGATCCAGAACATCTGGCATGAAGGCCTGTGATCCACTGTAAATGACACAAAATACCCTGACTGACAGGGACTTAAAAAGTTCTAGTTAAAAGCAGATTTGAGTCATTTTAACACACATGCTTCTGAAAATTTCAACAACTTTGACATCAACTAACCCTGGTTTTATGCAGAAATTTGAACACGAGGTTTGCCAGGATAATGGCAGCTATTCATTTGTTCCTCATGCAGCTCTGATTTGTTAAAAATTTTAGGATTTTGTGTGAACACAGCTTCTCTTTTGTTTTGTTTGGTCAACAAACACCCTGAGTTATTTCCTTTTCCACAAATGCTGATTGTTTAAATGATAATCTAAGCGTAGTTAACACCTTTGTTCAGATTTTTTTAAAGTGTAATCGTATGAATCTGAATGTGATAGAATCTGTGATAAACTGAAGCTGTTTGGATTGAAATGAATGTCATTGTGATGTGCATCATATGACTAGATTCCTGTATATACATGCTCACAGTTTATGCTTTTACCTTCATGCACGTGCATGTGCAAACTAAACAAACCAGCCACTGGGTATTTCAGAAAAAGAGGTTTATTTTTAACTATCAGATGTTTGCATGAGATCGTAAATATAAGTAGCATGATGCAAGTCTGGGAACTTACTCATCGTAATAAGCAGGGTGTGCAGAGTCGTCGTAGTAAGCCACAGTCTGACCCTGATCATCGATGTAGTACCTGGTCTGGTAGAAGTCTTGCTCAAACTGCTGGATGTCCCCCATTCTGCTCAGAAAAACACAGAATAAAAGAGCTCAAATTAAAGCTGCTGAATAGAAAGAGTAAATATTTCCCACTCTTTAAGGGGAGAGAGAGAAACAGAGGCCTTAGCAGTCACCTCAGACTTAATCTGCTTACTGACCCAGTCTTTTAATGTTACAGGTTTGACCCAGAGCTCATTCTTATGCCCCACTTTACTTACTTTTTAACAACCAGGCAGAGTAGAGTCACATGATTAATTGAAAAAGGAAAAATCTGTGATTTTACAAGAATAGTGTTGTAGGTTTATGAAAAAAAGATGGTATTTTAGGGTTTAGTGAGACAGCATATCAAGGTTTTCCCCCACTAATGTACCAACTTTTCCTTTTGGTCCTGCATTCTCTCTGGATCATACTTATGCACCATGTTCAGATTATAAACGAAACTTCGTAATGGGGAATCCTTCCAATTGTCAACAATAAAAGATTATTAAAATGATGTGCGATCTTCTTAGTTTATCCCAATCTGACTGCAGGGGACAGAGCCAATCCCAGCTGTGACCAGGTGAGAAGCAGGTTACACTCTTGACGGCTTGGCAGTCCATGTAAGAGTAAATATGCAGAGACAATTATCCATTCACACATTTACATCTATTAAAAAGTTAATATGTAGCCTAATAGACTATATAGACTTTAGCCTATATAGTCTATATAGCCTAATAGACTACATCTACAGAAAGGGGCAGAGCCGCCTTTTTTGCCTGAGAAGGCTCCGATCAATAGACATCTGTAGTAAGATGCTGCAGATGTTTTATCAGTCTGTGGTGGCAAGTGTGCTGTTCTATGCTGCAGTCTGCTGGGGAGGAAGCAACAAACACAAAGATGCAAGACGTCTTAACAAACTGGTGAAAAAGGCTGGCTCAGTGGTCGGACTCAAGCTGGACTCAGTGGAGGATGTGGTGGAGAGTTCTACACTGAGGAAGGTGGAGACTATTCTCAAGAACATGGATCACCCACTTCACAACAGCTTGATGGACCAAAGGGAAAATGGTGGTGGACAGCTTCTCTCTCTTCGCTGCAGGACAGAAATATTTACACACCTATTCCAAATCGCATATTCACTTTAACTGTCTACTTTCACACTTGTATGTTGTTTTTATTTATTTTAATTATGTTTCTAGCTGTGTTTTTATGCCCTGTACAGTGTCCTTGGGTGCTCAGAAAGGCGCTTTTAAATAAAATGTATTATTATTATTATTAAGATCTTTTGTACCAACAGCCATCAGCGTTTATAACTCTTATGTAAATAATAGATAACTTTTATAGACATATTACGTGGGACCACAGACAATTGAATTTTCCTTCAGGGATCAATATAGTTCTTCTTCTTCTTCTTAACCAGCATGTCTTTGGACTGTGGGGGGAAGCAGGAGCAACACCAGAGGACCCAAACATGCAAGAGGAGAGTATGCAAAGTCCACACAGGAAGACTTCTGACCAGCCAGGGATCAAATAAGGAACCTTTGTTTGCTTTGAAGCACAGTGGTACAGTGGACTCACCGAACGCTGCAAATTAAGTCATTTTGTTGTGGATCACATGTTTTCATTGAGGAGATATTTATTTGTCCGGTGATCATGGTTAAATAAAGTGAAAATAAGTTTGAAAAAATAAGTCTTGCTTGTAAAATCGATTTCCCTGATATTTCTTTAAAAAGGTTAGTCTGGAGAAGTATACTTTAAACCACTCATAGTTTCATTTGTGACTGAATAAATTTATAGTACAATGTATAAAAAGTGTCTGTTTTTATTGATTGAAGTAAGTAACGTTAAAGAAACCTGCAACTCAACTGTCACGAACCAAAATTGTTTAACTTTCAAAATAATTAAAGGAGAAATCATGCTTGAATTTTTTTTTTTTCTCCAAAAAGCTGAATCTTGGACATTTCTTAATGGAAAATATGAGAAGAAAGAGCAGGAAGACACAACTTGGCCCAATGTTATCCTTAAGTTCAAAGTGTTCACAAATGTCTGCTCAGCCAAGACAGTCTTAAAATACAACTTTCAGTCCTCTGCCCTGCAGCTTTTAAACCTCAGTTGATCAGCAACAGTCAGGATGTGTTCTCTTAGTTCTTATTACTCTCAAAAAGGTTGGTTCAGATAGTTTCAGTCTCTTGTTTTGTCCTCTGTAAACTCACCTGTCAAAGTGTAAAAAGCGATCTCCCTCCTCACAGAGTTGTGTGGTTTTGTCGGAGCAGAGGAAGAGTGAAGCCCAGTCTGTTAGGAGAGTCTATTAATAACTGACTATATTTAGACCACATCTCAGAGGCATGACAACTGCTGAAGACCTCTTTATTCTGTGAGGCAGAATTGCAATATCACAGTCCAGCCAATACTTGATGTTACTAACAGCTGACAGAGTTAATTTAAGTCAAAAAAATTATATCAATAATGCAAACAAACCCCTAATATTTATACTCCGGTTTCCTGGTGGCATATGTGAAATGAAATTTGCTGAATCTGCATCATATAAGTTTCTAACAATGTATTTACTTGTAATTACATTGTACTTACAATGTAATTACGCTCTCATAACTGTGTTTCATGCTATACATGATACAAAGAATCCATTTGACTTTAAAAGTTGTCTGGACAATTAGTGAAGAATTTAACTGTAAAAAATTGTTACCATACAATGATTTAAATCATTTCTCTGGATTTGCTTATTTTTCAGTGTTAATCCGGGTATATTAGACAAATCAACATTTGAATTTTAAACTGCTGCAGCAACATGAGTTTGCTAACAAGTCGGAAATAATCGTCAAAATATCAATACATTGGTCAAATAATCAGAAATACATCGTGGCATAGTCACTGAGAAGTAAAAACTCAAAAACTTTTTCTCAACTCGAAAATTGAGATAATCCGAGGAGCACATGAATGCAGCACCCCTACCGTACTCGTGACCTCACGACCCTTCACGAGTGGTTTCAATGTCGGATTCAAATAACGTGGAAAACAAGCGATGGACGTGTTAAAAGCGGTCTAAAAGAACAGGGCCTGTCTCTTAACTGTCAATACTGTTTTCAAACAGGAATTTAATTTACTGTATGCAGTCTATGATTCGAACACGGTTGCCGATCAAACAGTTTATATTTCGCTATCATGTGCCTGAAAATGGGGGTTGTGGAAAAAAATTGCACAGTACCGATTATCATGAACGCCTCCTCAAGAGCCGGAAACAAAACATCTGTGTCATGTGATTCTGCTTGTGCTTCTTTCTATTATGTAGCTGTTAGATGTCAAGTCATTTAATAAGAATCCAAAGAAGGTATGTGAACACATTGACTGATTGAATTTTACTGTTAGATTGATATTGACTATCAAGTTAACTTGTGGAGGATAGAATACGCAGTTGGTTACGGCTATTGGTTCTTTTTACGGAAGTAATAGTTAATCCGTCGGCTAGCTGTCATGTTAGCATGCTGTTATTTGTAATGAAGCTCTTACGGTTGTGCTGAAACACAGTCTGAGAAGCCGAGGACACTAAATGGAGACATTTTTCTTTCCACAGTAGCGAGGCGGTCTATTGAAGACGAGGAAACGGTGGCCGTCATGGCAGATGTGAGTATGGTCTGTCTGTCATTTTCGGACATTAAATTAAAACAGAAGTACCTGCAGTTTTTCTTCTAATTTGATGAAAAGCGCAAATTTTGGCATTTTTACACTAAGCAAATATATATACTCAACGCAGCATACCCCGGACAGTAGTTCGGCTGAATATGGCATGGGAAAGCTGCTACATAGTATTTATAAACCAACTTTGATGTATGCTGTGCCTTGGTGCCTCCCATTTAAAAACTTGTCCAACTTGGTCACTTCCTATACTTAGTCTATTCTAAAGAACATGGATCACCCACTTCACAACACCTTGATGGACCAAAGGGCCAATGGTGGTGGATGGCTCCTCTCTCTTCGCTGCAGGACAGAAAGATTCAGAGGATCTTTTGTACCAACAGCCATTAGACTTTATAACTCTTGTGTAAATAGTAGATAACTGTTAGAGACGTATTTTGTGACACGACAGACAATTGAATTTCCCTTCAGGGATTAATAACGTTATTCTTATTCTTGTATATCTTCCCTTTGCAGGATTTGAAGAAATATCTGTACAAACAGTTGCAGAGGTATGTATGATTGATTGCACAGTTTTTTTATCATACAAGTCACAATGTGTAGCAAAATTATCAGGTTTTATGTTGAATCATTAAAAAATATCCTGTCTGTCTCATTCAGTGTTGAAGGTCTTCATGCTATTGTGGTGACAGACCGAGATGGTGTTCCAGTTATTAAAGGTAAGAAAGTACACCCGAAACCTTTCACTCAAGTGAATAGCAGAAGAAAATACTGGAAATGAGAGCTGCATGTTGTGGAATTTGAGGTGTAATTGATGGTGATAATTAGTCTGTTTTCTTTGAATGTTTATCCTGTTATTAAAACTTACCTTTGTACTGTATATGTCTATACAGATATTTAACTAAACAAAAATTCACTTCTGGACTCTGTTGATATCATCGCACTTATTTGCTTGCTTTATAGACAACAGAGGCGTATCATTTGTGTTATATTGAAGGACAAATTTTGGAGTGATTGATGTTTGCATGATTGAAAAACTGCAACAATTGGGAAGTTAAAATAATCCAATTGATTGCAGGCCCTGCTGGTAGCTGAAAAAGTTGCATATTTTAATGCGTGTTGAGAAAAATGCAGAATCACAGGTTAGTCTAAATCTTATTTGAGTAAGAACTGCAGAATTCATCAGTTTGAAGATCACATATTGCTTTTGCAATCATGACTGCTACTGAAGCTGAATCAGCAAAAAGCACATCAATTTTTTGTAGAAGTGTCATTTCGGATAAAGAAACTCTACAACTAGGGCTTTGCTAAATGAAAGAGTGGAATAGCAATGAGCAGGATTTAATGTTTATGCAGATGTGTTAAGCTTCACTGCTCTTTGAGGAGGAAAGAGTTGAACTTGTGGGTATATTTACATTTTGAACACATTTATTTGGGCATCAGGGCACACATCATGACACTAGGGCCAGAGCAGTAGATTAAAACAGAGTGGCGACAACTTCAGATCTCGCCGCCGGAGCAGTCACGTGGTTCATGTACCCCTCCATAGTTCCAAACGCAGCCTGCACTGTCCATGCTCTTTAACGGGGCAGACTGCAGTGAGCGCGCATTTAAGAGGTAAATATTAAAATTAACCGTAAAAAGTCAACATTTGCAACTCTTATTGGATTACTGTGTACACATCAAAGTCACGTACGTATATTTAGCGGCTGGATGACAAATAAAAGTGAAATAAGACATGTTTGGTAACACGTGTTACTTTTTAATAAGAGAAAATAATACAATAAAGTGGTAAGTAACATGTGTTACAAGCTGTTTAAACAATTGTACAATGTTTTGGTCTTGCAGCATGGCCTGCATGACATTTTTTCATGTTAAACATACGCCTTAAATGCTGACAGGATTTAAAAAGTAGCGGCCCCTTAACTCTATCATCCCATAAGCAGAAATCAAATTACATAGCATTTATGTTAGTCTAAAAAGAATAAACTGCATATTACATCGGGAACTGATAAAGGCTGAAATCTAAAATAAAGCCCATAAGTAACCATCTCAACATATGATTGATGATGATTTATCTGTGATTCATAACTCAGTCACACAATAAATTTTGGCAGGCCTCTACAGCTGACGACGTCCAGCTAGCAGGCCGTGGCTAAAAAATCGATCCCAATTCCTTTCTAAAAAAACGTAATTACATTTGTAATTACAATTTGAGCATACTAAAATTAAAATCATTTTACATATAAAGGGGTCCCTCGATACCATTTACACACGTATTGGCATTACATTCCTTGATACAATATTTTACCTCGGGGAGTGTGGGAGCAAACCGTGGCTAAAAAATCGATCCCAATTCCTGACTAAAACAACGTAATTACATTTGGGATATACATTTTTACATATAAAGGGGTCCCCTCGATATCAATAACACATGTATTGGCATTAAACTTGTTGATATTTTATTATTTAACCTCGGTGAGCGCTTGCCTTGTGGCCATAGAAGCGAACGGTGTCCGACGTGACAGGCGGTCATGTTGGAACTATTAAGCGTTCCATAACCCGGAAGTGGGGTCCGCCGGGCAGTACAGCGTATGTCTATGGGAGTGTCGCCACTCTGTTTTAATCTACTGCTCTGACAAGGGCTATGGCAGGTAAACTGCATCATTCACTCACCTTTTAAAAGCCAACTACTGGACTGTTATAGTAGTTATATTACAGTTTGGCAAGAAACACAGCTTTATCGCAGTGGGTGATGGTGGTCATGGGAAATGCACTCTTCATCTACGAATATTTCAGAATTAGCACAACATGATATTCCTCCAGTGATGTAAATATGCAAAAGCTATTTGTTTTATTCTTTCACAGTTTTTGCTGCAGTCAAGTGATTTGTCACATAGAAATGATAAAGAAAGAGATACAAATGACACAAAACTATTATGAACATTTCAAAATGTTAAAGATCAGTCTTTGTTTTTAAAGGAAAAGCTGCCCTGAAATAAATACAGGAATGTTTGTGTGTTTTCTGCAGCTATATGTGCAGATCATAACTCACTAAAACGAGAAAGTGAATGAAAAAATCGTGTCTGCAGAATTCTTTGCAGACTTGAGAAATTTTCTTGGAAGCATAAAATAACCAAATAAACCAAAAGAAGATATGAGTTTTTTCATTGTGTTTATTGAGCTGCTGTGGACACAGAGTCTGACTAATCTGTTATTTCTTCACCACATGTCAGCTTTTCTTTCATGAATTGATCTAAATTAACATGTTTTTGTGACAGCTACATTTTCTATGATTAATGTTGTTTGTGTTTTCTTACAGTTGCCAATGAAAACGCCCCAGTCCACGCACTGAGACCGGGCTTTCTGTCCACTTTCGCGCTGGCTACAGATCAGGGCAGCAAGCTGGGTCTGTCCAAGAACAAGAGCATCATCTGCTACTACAACACCTACCAGGTCAGGCAGCTCCAGGGTGATCCCGTCAAAGCTCTCTGGAGTCTACTAAACGCTCAGAGTGGCTGTTGCCAGTTTTTTGTCCTAATACAGCTTTTATTTCTTTGTGTCAAACAGATTGTGCAGTTCAACCGGTTACCTTTGGTCATCAGCTTCATTGCCAGCAGCAGCGCCAACACAGGTAAAGTCTCTTCTGGTGACAGTGTTACACTCTGCAGCCAAACATCCAACATAAAAAGAACCTTCATGTAATTAGTGATATTTCAATCCGAGAACTGGCAGGAAAAGTTCAGATAAAGCTTTGTCTGTCTGTGTTCACACCCTAAAAACTGTGGGAAGTTTTGCACATGCTTAGATGTTACAGATGCAGATTTGATGTGCTGTGTCATGATGTCGGTGTGTGTTACATTCTCCAACTTGCCAGTCTTCCTGGTTAATGGTGTGTTTGTGTGGTGTCAAAACAGCACTTTACTGTGTGTGTCCTCAGGCCTCATCATGAGTCTGGAGAAGGAGCTGGCCCCACTAATAGAGGAGCTGAGGCAGGTGGTGGAGGTGACATAAACTCTGACATATCACACTCGGCTCCCTGGATTTCTCTGTCTGAAATGGTGCATTCAAGTCCTGTGGAAAACCTGACTACAGCTCTGAGATATCATCCCAGCTGTTTCCATCATGATAAATCTTTCCTGTACTCTTTTATTTTTCCTCTGTTGACTTTCCTTTTTTGCCTTTCTCGCTCTTTATTTCTGCAGCTAAGACAGTTTGTATGTCGAATCAAATGTCAAAAAGTCTGAATAAATGTCTCATTTTTAGCACCTAAACTGGTTCCTCTTTCAGTTTGTCAGTTTATTCATTATTGCCAGAAAACGTTGCTGGTTTTCTTGACGCAGATTTAGTCATTGGGAACTCCAGTCTTGTCAACCTGTGGTGAATGATGACTATTGGAACAGTTTAACGTGACACCTCAAAGATCAGCAGACCAAAGTATTTAAGATTTGAATAGGAGTATATCAGGGTCAGGCCGTCTGGTTAGTATCCAAAGTGGTTAGATTGGTGAGTATTCAAATTGCCTCTTGAAGTATTAGTGCTCCTCTTTGTATGTGGTGTCTTTGGCAACATTTTCGCACTAGCGCACAGAAAATGACATGTTCTACTCATTTTTACCTGACAATGACAAGGGAGGGGGAAGGAGAGCGCTACTAGAGGCAACATGGCGGGAAACCTGAAAAAGCGACCAAGAGGTTCAGAAGTGGATCATACCTAAAAGAAAAAGCCTTCCTGTTTGTCATGGGGACTGTTGAGGAAGAAAGAGAGTGACAAACGAAGAAGACTAGGTTGCTGGATAAGTAAGTGACTCTGTTCATTATGAGCAAGATGTGTTGCTGTTACATGAACTGGACCAAGTACTTTATTATTTTCTTGGAAATGGTGCTATGAATGTAATGTGCCGTTGGCAGCCTGGTGTTCGCCACATTGTGTAACGTTAGCCTAACAAGCAGTTAGTTACAAGGTGTGTAGCCTGTGTTGCTGTGTGTGACTTATCGTGAGGTGTCTGTGTGCTGTGACGAGTAACTTCAGTAGTCTACATGTTGTGTGGACAGTTACAGTCCGTGTACCATGATGAGCAGTATGCGGTGAGTCGCAAGTGTTACTCCTTTTACGGGTTACAGTGGGCTATACATCATATTGAGGAGCCGGCTGTATCATTGTAATAACACAGAAATCTTCTAGGGGCGATAAAAGTTACACACTATCATATTAAATCCTCCAGTACAGAGGAATAACACTACACTAGAGGACAGTATGAGGTCTGATGATTTAAATTCATTTATAGTTTAGATTTTAAAGCCAAATTATGATTAAATCATGTTTATCTATAAAGTAAAAAAAGCAAAATAAGTGTGGATCTAGGTAACTAAAGGTTTGAATTAAAATGTTATGATGGGACAACCACTTAATTTTCAATAATCTAGGTGTGACAATTTAAATTACAAATGAAAACACTTAACACTGCTTCTTTTTATTCAAACTTTTGATCTAATAAGCTCAAACTATACCCTGATACAAAAAGTTACACAAACTATACATTTAAAACCAGATGAGGATAAATCATGTTATTAATTAAAGACAAACGTATTTATACATTTTTTATTGTTTATCATCCAGAGCTTAACTGTCTCTACAGTTTTTTATGAAGCCAACTAAACTGACATATTAAAAATCTCCTAAATAGAAATTAATAGCTATATATACACCAAGATGTAAGAGAAACACAAGATGATACAGTTTTAGAAAGTGAACCATGAAAACCAGTTTAACAGAGATTCTTTAAAATAAATGATTTTCTAAACTTTGCACTTTAAAGATCTTTCATGACTACAACCTCAACTCCTGAAGAGTTTGGCGCTGTGAAAAGTGTTGATAAAGGCAAAATCTCTTTGAATTGTGTATTTGATTTAATAGAGAGACAAACTGTGTTCACTGACTGTGGTTTTAGAAGGGATGTAGTGACTTCCACTACAGTGTCTTGTCTGTTTTTCTACTTGATGGCCTGAAAATTACAGTCTGAGTGTTTTAATGATATTATGAACTCTGGATGATAAAACCCACCAGTTCTTTGTGAGTTTACACTCCTGAACATTTTCTTTAAGTTGTCAAATTATAAGCTCATGCAGTCTCTCAGAGTGGTGAACCTGTCAATGTTTACTCCTGAGAGACTCAGCCTCCCTGAGAGTCCTTTTTATACCTAGTCACCTCACTAACTTGTTCCAAATTAGCCTTACGTCCAAAGTTTTTCCATTCTTGCGTTTTCTTTGCACTATTATTATTAAAATATAGATTTTCATTCATTTAGAAACCATCAAATTCTGTTTTTATCAATATTTTAAACAGTGTGCCAATATTTTTTTAATCAGTTTTTTTTAAACAAAACAAAAAAACATGCATTAAAGCTGTGCACCTGCAAAGACTTAGCCAATCTGCCTCCAATCAACATTTGCAATTATTTCAGAAAATTAAGAACACATGTCACACATGGTATCAACTCCTGCTGCAGAAGTATGTGGGAATACATCAACTCCGCCTCTTCATATCTCCACTGGGTGGTGCTGCATTATGGGCTAAATAAGTAATCCAATCAATCTGTAGATATATGATTATGTTTCAATAAACAAAACAAACCTGTACAGATTGTTTGACATCAGAATATGAGGGGAAATACTAAATATTCAGAGTCCAGGTCCTGAGCTGATTTCAGAGCAGGTCAAGCTGCAGCTCCCACAGTCCCCTCGCCTGCTGTGATTGGTCAGTCAGTCTCTTTATAGCACGGCCAAGTGAGAGACTCACCTCACCCTCACTGCTGCTGCCTCAACCTCTCTGATCATCAGGAAACAGATTATCCTTCTTATAATCACTCTGTTACCACCATCTTAGGAAAGAATAAAAAGTGTTTCCACTCTAAGGGCTCTACTTTCATGCCTCGCTGGCGGCGTGGTGCAGGAGCGGCGTAAGTCAGGTCCGCCGCACCGATAAGGCATGCCCAAGCACACTTTGGTATTTTGGTAAGTGGTGCAGCCCGGCGTAAGTATCCCCCCTCCCTAACTTAGCTCCTCCCAGCGGCTTGAGTAGGAAGGAGATAAGGAGGGGAGTGGGTTTAACACAGCCGAGACCTGTTTTCACCAATCACATCAGCTCCTCCCATCACCTTTAAATCCGCCACCGGCAAGGCGTATTACAATTTTCGTGAAGTAGTCGAAGAGATTAAGAGATGGCTGAGGACAGCAACGCCACATGCTGGTGACAGGAGGCAGCCCCTCAACAAGTGTAGCGGTAAGCACTGCAGGGCGTCCTCCACATTCTCTCAAATAAGCACAGTGGGATTTGGTGTGTTTAATGTTGGACCACAGGTAAGAAAAACATCCTTTTTGACCAATAAAGACGATCACATAAAGTTGCATATATTTAAACCCCACGTAACAAAGGTGGGTTGTGTGCACAGATCACAACATAAACAAATTCCAATAGTGGCATCAAAATCAGAACCACCTGTGCGTAAAGGATGCATCACGCTTCGTGGCCTGGCTCTTTCTTTCACTGATGTTGGCATATAAAATGAACTTGGCTCACACAAATGAATATTATATTTGTATGTAGGATTGACTCCAGACTGAATATTGTCAAAATTTTAAGGACGTGAAAACATTAGATAAACAGATTATTTGAAATAAAGTTTCTTTAATTTTTTTGTTTAAATTTTTGAAGTAAATAACTCATCTGATCACTAAAATAAATATGGTCAGCCTTGCTGCAGAAGGACGGGGACTGAACATGGAGACATGTCTGGTTTGGGCTGCGCGACAAAGAGGAAGAGGGAGGGAGAAAAAGGGGGGAGACGAATTAAATATCTTGTTAACGTCATCATGTTTGACTATTCACTGGATATTTAATTTAATGCAGTTTTAGCTGTGTTAATTCAGTCAGGTTGAGTGTCAAACGCGTGCCAAACGCTCTCATCAGATATGATATAGATCAGAATATATCAATATGGATCTAAATGTATGTGGTGACTCAGATAGTTGCACTGAAAATTGGTTGTTGTTATTTATTGCACTGAAATGTACCTGACAATGTGGAAACCTGATGCCGAGGCATCGGTGACGTGTACACACTACGCCACCGGTCTACTAAAATACCACTAGACCAGGTGCCCCCGCCTGCACTGAAAGCTGACCAGATTTGAATCGGCGAGCTTTCAGTGCACTTTCCACGCCACCTGCGAGCACAAAAATGTCACTGCGTCAGCTGATTCTGTCGACACCTCCCCCTACCGTGCCACCATGCCCAACTTGGCGCACCTTGGTGCGCCTCAGGCTACAAAATTACCAAACTGACTGTGCACTGGGCTCTGCCAGACAAAAATACCACTGTGTGGGGTGTGCCACCCTCCACCGCGCTGCCAGCAGGCTCGAAAATAGAGCCCTGAGACTCACTTCATCAGCTGGACTGCAAAACATGCAGTTTAAAGAGCAGCAGGTTTCAGTCCTGCTCAGACCAGAAGTGATGGTGTACAGCAGCATGTTTCCTCTCAGCTCTCATCTGAATATATTAAACACTTAAAGCTTGAAGGGAAAGAGAGAGTCCTTGAAGGCGTCACCATGGCTATGTCTCATTTCAGACTTAAGTGGCTTTTCTTCAAGTCAGTCTTGACGCGAGCCTGACGGACCATCTCACCCGGGTACTCCAGTCCACCTAACGACAGTGCGCTCAGCTAAGCCTGATGCGGTCTCTGAAATGGGACACACTACCCTTCGAAGGACTTCCTGGTTGAGTCGCCAAATGTCCCCGCCCACAGGCTCGCGTCACGACTGACTTGAAGAAAAGCCGCAGAGCACAGCAGTTATTTTTTTATTGTGCAACCTTTCACAGACACAAAACAAATACTAGGACCCCGTTGGGGCACTGGCGGGCCCGAGCCGTGTCGCGTCCCCCCCCCCAACGTGCCGCCTTCCCGTCCCATTTGTGTCCTCTGGCCATCGCCCTCTCTGGTAACGCCCATCACTGCAAAGACCCTTTTCCTTCATCGGCGTTGCTGTTCTTCCTGCCAGTGCGTGTTGCTTTCACTTACACTTGCCACAGCCAGCCTCGTGAGTGCCTAGCCTATTGGATATCACTGTCACCTACACAGGACAGTCATTACCTTTCTATTAATACTTTGTGTTTTAATTTCACATTAATTTCCATATTGTATAAACGACTGGAAAAAACTTGAGCCCCTGCCCCTGTATAATCATGTGCATGTCTCTGTTCTAGCTCCAAGGTGAATCTT